AAATTTGATTCCTTTTATTAAATTGCTTCTTTGACTTTAAACAGACAGAACAGAAATCTTTAGATTTTCACCCAAGAACATGGTCATAACATTGAAGAAAGCTTTGGAATTCCATTGCGAAGCGGGGGCTGATAAAAGACTCAAAYCTYTCTTGAAATATAAGTGGCTCAAAGATGGCAGGCTAATTRAATATGATTCTCGAGTGCGGTGGATCCAAAACCAGAACATTCTGAGGATTGAAGATGCTAATTTTAATGATGGGGCTATATACACTTGCATYGCATTCACCAATGTTCCCCTGAAAACTGAGGACAGAGCAACAGCCATTGCTGATGTAAAAGGTACTGTTCAACATAAGTTAAACCTCTAAAACCTCGATAACTTCCAGGAGATCTGCCGCTTGTCTTGGTTAACCAACAATTAGAAACTACGGTGGTAGATGAATAGATAATTCTTTTACTTATACACAGTATAATACATAAATATAAATAAGAATAATCAAGAATTACGTCGATTGCGTCGACATTGTCACTTGCAAAGGTTAGGTGTCTTCATCCGTATACATAGGCAGCAGGGAAAACTGTAGGCAATTTGGAAGTTCATTAACATAGATTAGAAAAATGGGGACTTAAATTGTTAAAATGGTATACCTGAGGAACGCCACAACTAARCGTACGACAGTCCGAAAGAGAACCATTGACGAAACCGCGTTGAAAGCGGTTATCAAGATTGAAACCAATCATTGGAAGTGTAAACCGCACGGTATTCTTTTAACTTGGCCACTATTATAGTGTAGTTAACAGTATCAGAAAGTCCAAGAACGCCACTGCACTTACATTGCCTTTGTCGATATTAAGCGCCACTGGAGTCTTATATGGCTTCAATCAAAGCAGTTACAGTAGAGGACCAAAATCAGATTGGCAATTAGGGATACGGTTATTAGTACGTTTGTTATGAAGTACGCATGAAGGTAAAATTAAGTTAGTTTTTGTGCGTGTTTCTTTCAGGTGTTCCGTCCCCACCTTCAAACCTTAAGATTAACGGTTGTCACGACCGAGCTACCACCATCACCTGGAAAAAGGAACAAGACAATGATGCACCAATCACCCACTTTGTCGTTGAACAAGAATCCACCTTCTTCCCAGAGGAATGGCATGTGATTGTCAATATCACTGACCCCACGAAAACATCTTATTCTCTGCAACTAACAGCTTGGGCAAACTTAATATTTAGAATGCGAGCTATCAATAAGATTGGYCCCAGCCGAGCAAGCATGCCGACACCAAAAGGGCAGTGCATTACTACCTTGTTTAGTAAGTTAGAATCGATTACACCTTTTGAATGCCAGTTGTTTATTAAGGTGTTGATCAATGATTGCCAGTCATTGTCTCTAGTCCTTGGTAGATAATAATAATAATAATAATAATAATAATAATGATAATAATAATAATGATAATGATATAATCACATACGACACCGAGCTCGTAGGGACTCGAACATGGGTCGCATTGGTGAGAAGTGAGCGCTCACACCGCTACGCCACCAATGCGTCCCGTCATCCCGTCATGCAACCCGATAAGTTTACTTTATAACTGAGTTAAATATATGAATTTAATCCAACAGGGCCACTTATGTATCCCAGAAATTTGAG